TCAGCCTGGTCTAGATAGAGTTCTAGGTCAGCTGATGCTTTAGGGAGATCTTGTCTCAAAAAAGACCCCCTCCCCAATTTTTTTTAAAAGAACGCTTTCATTTCTCATTTTAGACATTTCTTCACAATTGGAATTTGTTAGAATGCATTATCAGATAGGGTCAAGTAAATATTATATATCAAACAAACAAACAAACACATATAGCTGAAATCCTGTTTATTTGATTACATTTTCTAGTATTAGTTTTTCACAGGTTGGCCTGAGTGTATAGAAAAACATTGGATTTAGATTTGCCCAGGATTTGAAAAAAATGTGATTTGAGAATTCTAAAAAAAAGCAACCTATCAAAAGTTGATATTTATTCTTACCACATTATAGACTCAAACAGATATAACTATGAATTAATAACATATTTTGATAGTAATAATATATTTCTGAAATTTTCATATTGCTATCTTCTATAAATTTATGTGAATATAAATGACAGAGGTATGATCATATGACAGAACTAGGGAAAATGTGCAAGTATTCAAGTTAAAAGGTAGAATGAGTTCTTACAAATTATAAATGTACATATTTTTTAGAATTCTGTAAGAATACACTAGTCATTAGATATCAAGTCCTGGCCCTCAAATGCTTATATTATTTTAGGTGCTCTCTGGAAAACATGACCAAATCTATTTGCAGTGATGTGTAGGTAGATCAAATGTATGTGAAAGGGGGACACTGGTCAATATTTATTTATGAAGGAGTGATTATGTGAATGACAGCTAAAGAAAAATTCTGTTTCTCCCAACATTTTGATGAAAGGTCTTTTTGTTCATTTAATTTAATAAGAAGTAAAACTGCTAAGTAATCAGTCTACTAAATCCTATTGCTTAAATTTACATTGGGAATAGGAGAGTATTATTTTTCTTTTTCTTTTTTTTTTTTTAAATCTTTTTGAGACAGGGTCTCCCTGTAGCCCCAGCTGACCTGGAACTCACTATGTAGAACAGGCTGGCCTCGAACTCACAGAGATCTGCCCTCTTCTGACTCCCAAGTGCTGGGATCAAAGGCATGTGCCACCAAGCCCAGCCCATTATTTTCTTTTTTGAGGCAGCGTCTTACTATGTAGCTCTGACTGGCCTAGAACTCACAGAGATCTGCTTGCCTCTGCCTCCTGAGTTCTGGCATTAAAGGCTCATGCCGCCATGCCTGGCCTGAGATTTTTAGAGTAAAACAAGAGCAAGACTTCTAGCCTGAATTCTGATAAGAGATGAGGGCTCAGGATGTATGTCAATTGTAGATCACTTGCCTAGAACATCCAGGGCTCTAGGTGCCATTACCAACTGAAAACACCCAAAAAGTTCTCTGATGCCAAAGATGATGGTACACACCTGTCAGCAACCCCAGCACTCAGAGTTGAAGGCCAGCTTGTGCTTCATGAGATCCTGTCACAAGCAAGCAATCCTCCCAACCAATTTTCCGGGTGTTGTAAGACTCGGACTGAGTGTGAGACCCAGAGCACATCCTCAGAGGTGACTGTTCCTTTGTCTTCTTAACAGGTGAATATCATACCACTGATTGCCAAAGCAGATGCACTTTCCAAAAGTGATTTGCAGACGTTTAAGAGCAACATAATGAGTGAACTGATCACCAACGGCATCCAGCTATATCAGTTCTCAACAGATGATGATGAAGCTACAGCTCAAGTAAACACAGTAAATGTAAGCTTTCAGCTTCAGAACATTAATTCTGTTCCATATGTGGACATGAAGTACAGATTTTTGTAATATCAGTGTTTTATTGTCATTTGTAGCTGACAAGAGACAATAAACAATGTATTGTCCCCTCAAAATACATTGTGAGGAAATACTTCATTTTCCCTCCCTTGCTCTCCCCCGCCCTGCCCTCTCATACTTCTTTTTATTTTTGTGAGACAAGGTCTCATTATGCGGCCCTGAATGTCCTGGAACTTGCTATGTAGACCAGGCTGATCTCAAACTCACAGAGATCCACCTGCCTTTGCCTCCTGAGTGCTGGGATTAAAGGCATGTGCCATCACCCCTGCTCTTCCTCCTTCTTTTGAGACATGGCTCTAAACTTGCCACATAGATGAGGATGGCCTGAATTCTCCATCTTCCTACCTGCACCTGATATTATAGGTATGCACCACTATGCCTGGTTCATGTGGTGCTGGGGATCAAACTTCAGAGCCCTAAGCATGCTAGGCAAGCATTCTATCAACTGGACTACACTCCAGCTTCCTGTTTTAGTTTCTTGATTTAAAAAAAAATATTTGCCTAGAATCAAAGTTTTTCTTCAAACAGATTTATTAGGATTTAGTTCATATACCACACAGTTAACCTGTTTAAATTCAATGATTTTAATGTATTCATGAATACCTGCAAGCGTCTTGGAGATCAATTTTAGAATACTTTCCTCCCTTTAGAAAGCAAATCTTGCCAGGTGTGGTAGCACATGCCTTTAATCCCAGAATTTGGGAGGCAGAGGCAAGTTGATCTCTGTGAGTTCAAAGCCTCAAAGCCAGCCTGGTCTACATCGTGATTTCCAGGCCAGCTGGGGTTACAGGGAGATCTTGTCTCAAAAAGACCAAAAAAAAAAAAAAAAAAAGCAAATCTTATCCAGGCGTGGTGACACATGCCTTTAATCCCAGCATGAAGGAAGCAGAGGCAGGAATTCTGTGAGATTGAGGTCAGCCTGTTCTACTTAATGAGTTCTAGACCACCTGGGGTTACAGGGAGACCCTGTCTCAAACAAATAAACATTTATCTTAGCTAGAAGTGTGATGCATATTTGTTATCCCAGTACTTGTAAGGTAGTGCAGGAGGATCAGGAGTTCAGAGTTATCGTGAGGATGAGGACAGACTGGAACACATGGGACTGTGTTAAAAATGAAACAAATGAAAAACCAAAATCAAAACAGCAAAAACACTGGTTGGAGTGATGGATCAGTGCTTAGCAGCACTTTCTGCTCTTGCAGAGGGCTGGAGTTCAGTTCTCAGCACCCACATGGCAGCTCACATCCCCTCTAACTCCAGCCCCAGAAGATCTGATTCTCTTCTGGTCTCTGAGGGCACATAGCATGCTATGATGATTTGAATGAGAATGTCCTCCATGGGATCCAAGTACTTGAACATTTTGTCCCCAGTTGGTGGCGCTCTTTTGGGAGATTTTAGGTGGCGTGGCCGTGCTGGAGGAAGTGTCACTGGGGGCAGGCTTTGAGAGTTCTTAAGCCTTGCAGGCTTTCCATTTGCTCTCTGCTTCCTGTGCTCTTAACCACTGAACAATCTCTCCAGTCCCTCATGCTCGGCTTTTTATGTGTGATCAAACTCAGATCCTCATGCTGGCACAACAGTACTTTGTCAACTGAGCTATCTCCCCAGTCCTTCTTGGACTGGGATAATAGTGTTTTATTTTTTTTTTTTTAGCATATTTTATGTTGTGTATCCATTAACCAACTGTACCTTTTAGTAATTTCATCTGCTAATGTGTATACTATCATTACAATAATTTTCATCTCGTTTCATCAACATCGTCCTTGTATTTAGGAAAGATAATGTGAGAAAATTATGTGTACTAATAATTTTTTTTCTTTGTACTGCACACATCAGGACGCCTTGCTTTAGGCAATTCTAGGTAGGTAGTTTTTAACTGTATGTCAGCATGAGTTTGATGCTTGCAAAAATCAGCTCATATTTTTGGTAAGTATTAAAATCTGACACAGGATAGATCCTTTGTTTGATTAAATGTGTTATGATAGCCTCGTCTGTTTTGTTCCATCACAGAGAGAAAAGAATAACACAGTAAACCATACCATTTGAGGAAAATTAATTTAGATCATTTTTATTTTTTAGGGGCTGTTACCTTTTGCTGTGGTAGGGAGTATGGAGGAGGTGAAAGTTGGAAAAAGAATGGTCAGAGGCCGTCACTATCCTTGGGGAGTTTTGCAAGGTAAATATAATGAAATCATGTTTTGTGATGATTAAGTCCAGTATATACTACATGTCATCTGTAGTCTTAAATAGCATTTTAATCTAAGCCAATGCTGGTAACTCTAGCTAGCTTATAAACTAATAGCTACTAATGAGAAGCACAGGTTCCATTTCATTTAAGCTTATGTGTGGAATGACTGTGATCCCTTCTCATAGGAATTGTCCAGAAGTTGATTTAGGCTAAATCTAGCAAATCTCCTTGTTTAACCAATGTACCACATGTACACTGTCTCTGTCTGCCTGAGCCATGCCATTCAGACATGGCTGGGAATGACTTGAACAAAACTGAACTATAAACACTAATGCTTATACACGTCACACAAACTACCACTTAATTTAAAAAAAGAATGGCAAATCACTCTTAGAATAAGTTGTATCTTTGACATCTGTATTCAGAACATCACATAATGATGGGGTGGAATATTGTAACCATAATTTGTTGTCTTGGTTATATACTTATAGCACGAATTATTGAGGAGTGGAGGATTTGTATCTGTACTAATTTCCAAGTATTTCAAATTGACATATCTAAAAAATTTAAATTTATGAAACATATTTAAAAAGTGAGTGTTTTAGGCTGGGCATGGTGGTACACGCCTTTAATCCCAGCATTTGGGAGGCAGAGGCAAGCAGATCTTTGTGAGTTTGAGGCCAGCCTGGTCTACATAGTGAGTTCCAGGACAGTTGGGGCTACAAGGAGACCCTGTCTCAAAAAGACAAAAAAAACTGAGTGTTTTAATGTATTATTCTTTAGTGTATTTGTACATTGTCTGTTATTATGTATTTTGTATAATAGCATTATTTTTAGACAGGGTCTCCTATAGCCCCGCCAGCCTGGAACTTACTATGTAGACCAGACTGGCCTTGATCTCACAGAGATCTGCCTTCTTCTGCCTCCCAAGTGCTGGGATTGAAGACATGCACCACCATGCCAGAATACAATAGCATATTATATATATATATATTTTTTTTTTTGATCTTTTTGAGACAGGGTCTCCCTGTAGCCCCAGCTGTCCTGAAACTCACTATGTATACCAGGCTGGCCTTGAACTCA